TTTTTAAGTTTTTCTTTTGAAATTAATATATAGATAATCAATTTGATTTAATGTTTCTTGTAATTAATTCAAATCTGTGTATTTTTTAACATTTTTCAAAAATGTTGCAAATAACATTTTTATAAAAACTCTAAATTGAATTTTCCGACAATTGCCGTATTTAAACTTTAAAATGTAAATAATCATAACTTTCGATAAGGTTGAGCTAGTTTAAAGATCTTGGTGTGATTTTGTTCAGTTTAATTACTTTGTTTCTTTAGTAAGAAAAACTCATTCCCACCAATCTGGTCCCTTATTATCCGCGAGGTAACATATATAAAAAAAATATATATATATATACAGTCGTGGCCAAAAGTTTAGAATCACATGTGAACTTTTCATTTTTTTGTGTTTTTGTCGAACCTTGGTCAGAAATATTTATTCTAACCATTCTACCTTTGTTCCGGTATTTAGTTAAACCGTTTGTGGTTGCTAAGCAGCAGTTTTAATTACATTTTTTGATCATTTTAATGGGAAAAAAGAACAACAAAAAAATTCAACTAGAGATATTGCAAAAATTGTAAATGTATCACAATCTTGTGTTAGTAAGACATTAAGTAGAATTCGACAATGTGGAACATTTTCGTCACGTGGGAGAAGTGGCAGACCAAAAAATATATATATATACATATATTAAAAAAAATATATATATATACATATATATATATATATATATATATATATATATATATATATATATATATATATATATATATATATATATATATATATATATATATATATATATATATATATATATATATATATATATACATACATATCTATATATATATATATATATATATATATATATATATATATATATATATATATATATATATATATATATATATATATATATATATATATATTTATATTTATATATATATATATATATATATATATATATATATATATATATATATATATATATACATATATAGCACTGTGGGCATAGAACAACAATAATCAAATTGTTTTCATGTAAAAAAAACTTTTTATTTTAAATTACCTTACCCTAAATAATCACGATTCCAAATTTGTTAATGTACTTTATCTTTTTCATCTTTTACAGTACATTATTCTTTATTATTTCAGATCAGTATGATATTGATTCTTAACCCAAAATACATGATTTTATAATTATCGTAATAAATATAAGTCAATTTTTTAACTGCCACTTTTAAAAATTCGTATAATTTTACTAATTGTGAACTGAACTAAATATTAATAACTCACCAGCTGGCTAACATTGAGGAGCTACGTGAAGGCTTCATAATCACTTTATATTTCCAAACCAAACCGCCGAAAGAAACGTTAATATTTAAAAATAATTTATTAAAATTATTTCTTTATTAAGAAAAGAAGTTTCTATTATTCAAAAAAAGTTTAACATTCCCAAAGAAAGAAAAGAAAAGAAAAGAAGTTATAACATTCCCAAAACCCCACGCCTCAACCCCCATAGAGGGACGTAATGGAGAATAATATTATATAATGTAATAGAATGAAAAAAAACAAACCGTTTCAATTTATTATCCTTTGTACATTAAAACTAGTTAAATTTTTATGTTGTAAGATATGTACACATTAAGAATAAAAACTTTGTAATTAATTTGATTGCGTTCCTTTTAAGTCTTATAAAAACTTTAATTCATTCAAAATTTTATTCATGACTTCGTTGAACAATGTTGCATGTTTAAATTGTTAGCTCAATCGTATCTTAAGAAAATAAAACATTAAATTATAACTTTAAAAAGCAAAAAAGCACTATAAAAATTAAAGGTTCTTGATTTTATTACAAGCTCTTTAATTAAATATTTAAATTTATCATAAAGATCTCCCAATCAGAGGAGGACCCAAGAAACAAAAAATAGCTAACACTATTTAAGATACATATCTTACTTAAATTACACATTCATCCTATGCTGGCGTCTAAAGAATTACATTCCCCTAAGTTGTTCATAAAATATTTCAAATAATTAGTATTTGGTAATTAGAATATAACATCCATCACTTGTAATTTCTGTATAACATAAAGAAATTCTTTACTAAAATAACACATCCACCCTATTTATGCTTCTAAAAAATTAGAACCCCCTAAGTAGTTTATAAATATTTCAAACAATTAGTATTTCGTATCTAAAATATTACATCCCTACTGTTTATTATCTGCATATGACACTAAAAGAAACTAAAATTTTTACTTAAAATATCACATCCCCTATGTATAATTTCAAAACATTACATCCCTCTAAGTAATTCTTCACAATATTTCAAACGTTTACTATTTGGTACCTAGAATATCACATCTCTCTGTTTATTCTCTGCATATGTCACAAAAAGAAACTGAAATTCTTATTTAAATTACACATTCCCCCTATGCAGGCTTCTAAAATATTACAAATCTCTAAGTAATTCATAAAGTAATTCAAACAATTAGTATTTTGTAACTAAAATATAACATTCACCACTTGTAATTTCTGTATAAATCACATAAAGAAACTGAAATTCTTACTTAAATTACACATTTCCCCTATGCAGGCTTCTAAAATATTACAAATCTCTAAGTAATTCATAAAATAATTCAAACAATTAGTATTTTGTAACTAAAATATAACATTCACCACTTGTAATTTCTGTATAAATCACATAAAGAAACTGAAATTCTTTCTAAAAATATCACATTGCCCGTATGTTTACTTCTAAAATATTACATCCCCTATAGTATTTCTTTACAATATTACAATATTTCACTTGTAAGTTCTGTATGTACCACAAAAAGAAACTTAAATTCTTACTAAAAATAACACATCGACTAACTATTCTCGTTTACTGAGTTTTGTACTCTTTTTTCACAAACCGTACTCTTTTCAAATCCTGTACTCTGAAATTACTCATTTGTATAATTTTGTACTCATTTGTATTTCTAAAACATTTTATAAGATTATTTCATTTAAATTTTATTAATTAAATAATAAAAACTGTTTTGAAAGCCCTCTATGTTTAGAGGATTATCTTTAAAATAATAAATTTTCCTTAGTAACTCATACAGTATTTCAAACGATTAGTATTTTGGTATCTAGAATATCACATTCTCTCGGTTTATTCTCAGTGAATGTTACAAAAAGATAAAATATTTTAAACGATTAGAATTTGGTACTTAAAATATCACATTTATTACTTAAACGTTCTGCATTTAACACAAAAAGAATCTTAATTTCTTACTTAAAAAAATCACATCCCCTCTATGTTTACCTAGTCTATGTCTCTATGTCTATGTTTACCTTACCTATGTCTAACTTCAGTTGCTTTCCATTTTTTAATATGTAATTAAGATCTTAATTTTCTAGAAAAATTTCTTGGAACGTAATGATGTATCTGGAACAATCCACCAGATAAGGTATTGAGCAATTTAACCATAAGTTGACAAATCTTCGCATTACCCCTAAGCATACTAAATGCCTAAAGTCTGAAGGAAACTTTGTCACCATGTCAAAATTTAATTCAATTTAACACACCACTAAGATGTTCAGAATGCTTTTGATGACAAAAAATCTGAATCAGTGCTTAAAATTAGTGAAATATGTAGGAGAATTATCTTGCCACACCACTCTCCTTTCTAAACACAACACTCACATCAGTTATAACCATTGTGTCCTTTAGTACACTTTACAAATGCAGACACAAATTTGACAATGATTTAAATTTTGCACGCACATATGGTTGCCTTTTTCAGCACAATTGAGCGCGTCAAAATTACATTTGTGAAAAGAGATGGATATATCTATCTCTCCAATATTTGTGTATGTAATTCTCAGGCTGATCTTTGATGTGCAGTATGTACGGCATGCTAGACTGTCTTGACGCATGCGTAGTATGTACAGCAAAGTTTTTTTTATTTATTTAATTAAATAATAGGATAAAAAAACTTTGTTGTACATACTACGCATGCGCTTAAGGTTAATTAACCATAAAATCAAAAATTACAAACTTAGTTATAACTTACAAACTTATGTTCGGTGTCAGTCATATCAAAAACTAGTCAATGGTACGACACCTTAATAAAATAAACAAATAAAATAAAAAAATATTAAAACAAAGAAATAATAACGAAAGTAAACTACATTAATACTAGTAATAAAAAAAGAAGTATAAGGAACAATAATATTAAAAAGTTGGAATTAGCACAAAAACATCAAGGAGTAACGCTAAGAAAAATGAAAAAAAAAAGAGAATGAACGGATGAGATAAGATGAGTGAGAAAATATGTAATAGAAAACAAAAACTTAATCACATAAGCTCAGAAGGATAGAGTGACAGAAAACAATTTTTGCAGAAAAATATATAAAAACAAATTAAGGTGGTACTTAGGTGAAAAACTCAAATTCTTTATTTTTTACTATTCTAATTTAATATTTTAATACATTGATTATATACAGGTTACTAGCCTTAAATAAAAAAAAAAAAAAAAAAAAATTACAAAAAGTCTTTTTTGGGCCAAAAGTCACAAAATGGTCACTTTGCGGTGCGTCAAATTGGGAAACAACCACTTGTTGTATGCTATTGAAATTTTTACAGTTTGTTTTTAGTATAATTTTACAGATATGGGAGCAGAATTAGCCTGATTGGATAAGTAGATCTAAGATAATTAAAATTTTGATATCTTATTTATAAAAAGGCTTGAAAATGAAACTTTGGGCTTGGGTAATTATGGTCCGAAAAATATTTTTTCAAAAAATGTTGTTTCTAAACCTGCATCTTATAAAAAATAACCACTATACAAAATTTCAAGTGCAAACCTCAAACTAATCAAAAGTTACATGACGCACCGTCCAAAAAAATTTAATATTGAGATAAATGCAATTTAAGTAAGAATTCAATAAAAAATCACTAAATTTTCTCTTTATATTCAAAAAAACTCGTTTTTATGATTGATAATTATAAATTAAACATAATGCAAACTAAAATAAACCATAACCATACTTCTGTTCTTCTTCTGATTCATTGGTATTCTTAAAACCTTTACGCACTCCTCGAATATGTTTTCTCCTCTTCTTAATAGAATCAAGAAATTTTCTTTCCATAGAAATTATTCGTCGAGCGTTATTTGAGACACAGAATTCATTTGAATAAAATCCAGCAACAACACCTAATCCTTCTAAAACCTTTAAAATTCCAGTTGAACCGTCATTAAAATTAATGACTGCTGAAGCTACATCCAACTCAACAGTAGTTTTACAAACATAAATATCTTTTGGACATCGTTTCCAAATCATTCCATTTAGTGTCTCATTGTTATTTTGTGTTTTGCCATGAAGACATTTTTTGAGCAAATTATCATCACTTAAGCTTAAAAAAACAGGCTTTATTTCTTCAAGGATAGCAATGGGTAATCCTCCCTTATGGTTGTACGTTGATGTACTATTTATTTTGTCAGCCTGATACTTTCACCAACTATCAGCAGTACGTGGGCACATTTGGTGTCTTGATTCAACATCTTTTGCCTCAGAACAATGGAAAAGTACTGCTCCAATAGCTTTTTTTAACTGGTAAACAGTAGAACCTGTTGATTGCCGAACTGCAATGCCAAAATAATTTTGCAGTTTATTTATAGCTTTTTCAGTAAGACGACCTGCATCACCTAACATTTTTCCATCAGATAATTTCTGCTTATTTGTTGCTTTGAGTTTCCGTAACCGTCCTCCAACTCTCTTTTGGATATGTCCCACACACTCCATTTTTTCAACAATTATCCCTTTGTATGGATCTTTAGCTACAATATCAGAGTATGACTTAGAGTCTCTGTCCCCTATGTATTTTGTATATCGGAGTTTGCGACTATGTTCTGAAGCAACAAAACAATCTACTAAAGCAGCAGCTTCCATAGAACCAGCAGAACCAGTATGATTAATGTTGCAATCGTGAGTTGAAATATATTCTTCATATTCATCAGAACCCTTCTTTGCTTCCCAAGATTGACATGACTTACAAACTGTAGATCGTACACGATAATCTAAACACTTTCCTGTGTCACTTGCTATTACAGTAACAACACCATTTAACGATGCAAAACCTCTTCGTTGCCATGATCCATCACACAATACAGTTACATTCGAAATACCATTTTCATCTCAGTCAGTAGCAAATATGGATTCTCACAATTCAGTGGAGGCATTGTTCATAGAACATGTTACAACATCAATATACGATTTACATACATTTTTTTGTAATTCATTGAACACAGTAACATTCATTGGAAGTGGCATGTTTAAATACCCACACAATTTTTTTAAACCGGTGTGACCTTTTCCAATTTCCCTCATTGCAATAACAGATCGTACATTTATTTCAAATGGAGGTCTACCACGACTGCTTTTGCGATTGCATTTGTTACTAGAACACAGTTGAGTTTGAAGTATTTACATAGGGTAACAAATTGGTGTCATTGGTGGGCAAGGGTGATGCAATAGTATTTTGTTTGGATTTATTAGTGATTTTAGAATATAGTGGTGTACCTGTTGATAAATATGATAGGTTTATTTTCATTCCAGAAGAAGAAATAGGTGGGTTAGACAAAGGAACCTCAGCTGATTCTTCTTGTTTTTTTGTATGCTGATTACCTTTAAAAGAGCGTCTAGAAAATGCCTTTGAATGGCCAGACTTTCTCTGCAACAAAGCTCTACTCTTTTTTTTATTATTCATTATTATTAACTATAACAAAAGAAATAAGTAGCAAATGAAAAACAATTAACTTAATAATAATAAAAATAGCAGAGCTTTATTAGAGTTAACTTAATTATTAACTTAACTATAACAAAGCTCTGCTAATTTTATTGTTTTTATAATTATTACAACTAAAGTTAACGACAATAATGTCATTAAACAATAATAATAATAGATAAAAAAGTCATTTAAATTAAAAATAATTAACTAAACCAAATAAACAATGATTATAAACATGAACAAATATTCATTCACTTCCAGCTTCATCCATTTTTTTGACATAAAATTATTTTAAGTAAAAACCTCATGTAAAACGTTTTTTTCAGTTTAGTGACTTTTTGCATGCAGTTTAAAATTCTGTAAAATACTTTAATGACTCATAATAACCAACACTAGGATTCTAGAGTATAAATAAACATACTTTTATAGGTTTTAGTGATTAAAAAGTGGTTGCTAAGGGCGTCGCTATGGAAGTTTGAGTTCTGAGTTTATTAATGCCTATTTTAAAATGAAAAGTTAGATATCTTCTTTATTGTTTTTTTAAAAACAAATTACATAGGCGTTTTCTACATAGTTCAATTAACTTGAAAACATTTACTTTGAAATTTTCAATTTTTACTATTTTTTCACCCAAGTACCACCTTAAAGGCAAATTTAAATAAAAATATATATACATACAATATTAAAGTTTAATATACAATATTAAATACTACATACAATATTAAAGGCTATATTAAAACCTATAAACTGACCGCTTTGGAAGATTCCAACGCCGGAATGAAAAATAAATTTTTAAAAGAAGTTAAAAAATTTTATAAAATTTGCTATGAATATATCGAAGAATGGATAATGAACTTTAGAGCATTGAACTGTTTTAAATGGACCCCTATAAATAGTAAAATTGAATGGAAAGAAGTTTCTTCAGCAGTCGAATTTGTAATGAAGGAAGTAAAAGATATTGTTATTAATGACAATTTTCTCTTTGAAGAAATTCGAAGATTAAATTTATATTTAAATAAAGAAAAATTGATGAAATGGAACAATGAAAAAATAGAATTAGACAAAAGATGGGTAGAAATCTTTCGGCATTTTAGAGTAGAACATATCCCACATGAAAATTTAAAAGTTTTAATAGAAATTACTTTATGTTGTCCAGGCACTAATGCTGCTGTTGAAAGGGTATTTTCACTAAAGAATGATTATTGGAGCAGTGAGAAATTGCAAATTTCTGTAAAAACATTATCTGCCGTCTTAACAGTCAAATTTAATATGCAATTTAATATGTTCGGATGCGGCTACATTATTAGACGAACATCCTCATTTTGCAAAAAAAATCCACTCTGAAGAAAAATATATATTTAAAAGAAAATAAAGTTTTTTATCGTTTTTTCTTCTTTTTTTTTCACCTATAAAATACTTGCAAAGTGTACTCTTTTTGAACAAAAGATAGTTGGTCCCCATAAGATAATTAAAAATGGAATTAGATTTTTAGGCACCACTTTTTAAACAAATTTATAAAAACCCAATTTGGGTCCCCTAATATTGTTATTCCTAGGCCTAGGCTCTGACGGCAACATTTATAAATAGCAACAACTTTTGGCAAATTTTATTTAAAATTTTTTACATGTATGTTTAAATTTGTCACTATTTTAGATTTTTATTGAATAAATTCCTATATAAAAATATATTTTATATAAAATATTTATGGAGTATTATTCTCTTTTACTATCAGCGAACAAGCTGATTAAACTGACTTGATAAGCTTCAGCATTAATCTGAAGCTAATGAATTTATAGTTGAAGCAAAAATATCAGCTGCAACCCCTACTTTATAGACGACATAGTTAATGTGATGTATATACATTATAATAATAAATGTGTTTTTTTTATACTCAAATACTTATTTTTTTATTTTATGATACATTTTTTTTTTAACACATGTTTTTTTATAATATTTAATACTTAGTGTGAAGCCGTGAACCTTAGTCATATGCGGACAAATAGGAACAATGTTTATATATATATATATACATACGTGGCTATATTAAGATGTATAATAAAGATGGCTTACTTATAAGAATATATATATTTAAATATAGTACAGTGTTTTATTAACGACACAACAATGGCGCTACGAGTAGGATCCGATTTGACTTTAGATTATCCAGACAATGCAGAAGCATGGATTAGATGCTTTTCAGCATCGGCACGTTCAAAGAAATTAAAAGATGAGATAAACGGTAGCTACGAGATAACAGATTTATTTATAGCAAATGCAGACATTGAAGCAATTAAAAAGATTTCCTTTATGGTATATCCAGAAGAATTAGAAAATATGATGTTTGATGATATTAAAACTGTTGTTATGTCCCATTTGAGGCCTCAAAAACGACTAATTATTGCTGAAAGAGTTCGATTTTTAGCATTAAAACAGCAAAACAATGAAAACATCGTATCATATGCACAAAGATTACGCGAAGCTTCACGCTTTTGCAATATCGAAAAATTGGGAAGAGACGGCCAAAGCGTGGAAGATGATTTGATTCAAATGAGATTGATTGATGGCCTCCAATCTTCTGATCAGAGAGTTAAAGATCTAGAAATGATACAGAGTGGAGAATCGCCTAAACTAGGAGCATGTAATGATTTTATCAGGCAACTGGAGCAAATATCCTGTTTTAGTATACAAAACAACATTGAAAACAGCATAGACCTTCCTTCAGTTAAATACATTGATAAAAATAAAGAAAGAACGATTAAATGCAAGTATTGTGGCCTTCAACACCCACCTAGGAAATGCCCAGCATTTGGGAAGAGTTGCAAAAAATGTGGGAAGCTGAACCACTTTAAAAAACGTATGCAAAGCAAACATTAAATATGAAAAAATAGTAGAGGAAATAGAGAACGATGACGCTAGTGTGTATTCCATGAATGTTACAAACTCAGAGATTAGTGTAAAAATTAATGACTGCAATATAAAAATGCAAGTTGACACCGGAAGTCAAGTCACAATTATTCCAAAGAATTTTTGGGAACTAATGTCTAAACCGAAATTACAAAAATGCTATCTTCGCCTGAAACAGTTTGATGGTACATTCATAAAAGTCCTAGGTGAATTTGAGGCAACTTTGGAAACCGAATCAAAAATGAATATCGTACGAGTTATTGTTGCAGACTGTACAAAAAGTCATGGTCTAATTGGTATGGATGTTTTAAATACCAACGCCACAAAATTAGTTAATAGTATGGGCGTTTAATTAATTACAAAGCAAATATTCTGTTAAAAAACGGCATACAACCAACTTATTTTGAATCTCGACCTCTTCCTATTCACATAAGACCACTAGTGGTAGATAAACTTAATGGAATGATACAGCATAGGTTGTTTCAAAGGGTTCCTCATGGTGGAAGCAGATGGGCTTCACCGTTTGTAGTTGTTAGAAAAATAGATGGAGATTTACGCATTTGTGCGGATTACAAAATAGGTGTTAATCAAAAAATATGCTCAGACTCATATCCTATCCCAAACATTGAGACCGTATTTCATAAAATGGCAGGGATGAAATATTTTGCTAAAATTGATCTCAAGGGAGCTTATCATCAAATTGAGATGGACAAAGAGGCACAAGAAATAACGACAGTTAATACCCCTATTGGATTATTAAGATGGACTTGTTTACCTTTCGGAATAAAGACTGCAAGTGCGATATTTCAAAGAGCGATTGAATCTGTTGTTGGCGATATTATTCCCAATATGATTATATTTCAAGATGATATATGTGTCGGTGCTAAAAATGCTGAAGAACTCAAATTAAATTTGAATAAAATATTGAGCAAATTGAAGGAATCGGGAATGAGCATAAATAAACGAAAGTCAGTGAATGAAACAAAAAGCCTTTCATTTTTAGGATATGAACTGTCAGAAAAGGGAGTTACCCCAGATCGTAATTTAGTCAGCAAAATACTCGGAATAAATCCTCCTAATGATAAAAAGGAACTCGAGTCATTTATAGGATTAATAAACTTTTATGGTCGACACATTGATAAATATGCTGAAAAAATTTTAGCTTTAAACATTTTAAGAAAGAAAAGAATTACATTCGAATGGAGAAAAGAGCATCAACAGGCATTTGAATTGCTAAAAAGAAACCTTTGTAAAGAACCCGTAGTAAAGGTTTATGACATCAACCAAGATCTAGAGTTAACAACAGATGCTACTGAGAAAGCTATGTCTGGAACACTTTCACAGAATGGCCATCCGGTATTGTATCTCTCACGAACTTTATCAGACGCTGAGACAAGATAATCTCATATTGAGAGAGAAGCGTTAGCTATTGTATGGTCTGCTCACAGAGCTAAGCATTTTTTGTTGGGTAGAAAATTCAAATTAGTATCAGGTCACAGGCCATTAGAACTTATATTTGATAGTAAAAAGGAATTGCCCAAAGTCACATCCGCTAGAATTTTAAGATGGGCCATACAAATGATGGCATTTGACTACGAAATAAGCTACAAGAAGGGAGAAAACATTCCTCATGCTGACGCATTATCGAGATTGTCCTTTCTACCACAAGATGAAGAGAAGGACCAAGAAACATTCATACACTTAGTCGAGTCAGATATCGTGAACCTTGGGCAAATAATAAGAGAAACAGAAAATGATAGGGTATTGATGGATATCAAAACCAGAATTAGCAAAAATAATTGGAGCAGATGTTCGGTAACAGAAAGACCCTATAAATCTATTAGGAATAAACTGACTATCGAGAAAGGCTTTGTATGTAATGGTGATCTTATTGTACCTCCTAAGACAATGAGATCCATGATGATACACATTGTGGCATAATGCAAACGCGATGTAGATTAAAATTGGAAGCCTGGTGGCCTGGCTACTGTCAAGATGTTGAAGAATATGTGAAAAACTGTAAAAAATGTGCCGAAATAAAAGTGAAGAAGGAAAGGACATTACATACATGGCCAAGTGAAAATAAACCTTGGTGTAGAGTACATATGGATCATGCCCATGTACAGGGTATCGGACTGTTTTTGATTTTAGTAGATTCTTTTTCTGGATGGCCGGAAGTTATTAAGGTAAATAACCGTAAAGCGGCCACTGTAAAGGCAGTACCATAAAGTGTTTTTTCAAGAATTGGAGTTCCAGAGGTTTTAGCATCCGACAATGCTGCGGAATTTCATGATACCACCTTACACCAGTGGCTAAAGAAAATCGGTTGCCTTATAAGACTCCACTATACCACCCTCAATCTAACGAAACAGCTGAAAGAATTGTAGAGTCAGCCAAGATGGGTTTAAGAGCTTATTCACCGGACAAAGGTTTATTATGCGGATATTTAAGCAGAATGCTTTTAAGTTACAGAACAATACCTCATGCAGAAAGATCAAGGAGTCATTTCGAGATGATGGGAAGGCAGTTGAGATCCCCTCTCACCATGAGTTTCGAATATGGAACACCGTTATGGTACCGCCAAAGACCAAATTTCAAACCTGAACCTGCTTCATTCATCTCTCAGGCAGGTCTAAACACTGCGATCATATTAAGGAATAATTCTTCAGGTACGTTAGCGCACTGTGACCAAATAAACAAATGCTTAAATGATCCTAGTATACTTATGAATAATGAAGACAGTATGCCGTATGATCATATCAATAATGAGAAAATTGATCCTTGCAATAGTGATAAATCTGATATGCCCGAACTACGTGTTACTAAAGGAGAGCCTAACCAGGATCGAAGAAGTACACGGTCGACAAGGGGGCAAAAGCCAATACGTTTCAGGGATGTGAAGCCGTGAACCTTAGTCATATGCGGACAAATAGAAACAATGTTTTTATATATATATACCAATGATATATATTAACTAGATGTCTAACTTCCGAAAAAAAGTGAAGCACATTTTTTTTGCCAACCAGCATATGATTGGCTAATAACTTGTTTTGCCAACCAGCATCTGATTGGTTAACAAATATTACGGAAAGACAAAGAGCAAAAATAAAATCCAAACAAAAAATATTTGTGTCAGTTAAATCAGAAAATGGGTTTAAAAGTTAGCCAGGTTGGAATGATATTGTGAGATGCTTTAGTATTGGATAATTTTATAAGTGTAGGTTAAAAGTAACGTCAGTTACTTTTAACTTTCTATTATAAAAAATAACTGCTAAGCTAGTAATTTTAGTTTAAAGTAAAAAGACTGAACCTTAGGAAAATATTTTAAGTATATAATTTTTAAAAGTTAACATCTTAGATAAGTTTTTATATAATTAATTAAGTTAAAATATCTGTTATAGTATGTAAACTTATCCTATATATTTCTTTATAATAAAATACAATATTTCTAAGGGTTATATATACCCTCGTTATTCAAGTAATATTACTTGAATAACGAGGGTATATATAACCCTTAGAAATATTGTATTTTATTATAAAGAAATATATAGGATAAGTTTACATACTATTTTAACTTAATTAATTTTAAGGATATATATTTTAAATATTTACATTTTTAAACTGAGACATTTATTTAGACTCGCTCCAGATTATATCATATATAATATAATGTATATATATATATATATATATATATATATATATATATATATATATATATATATATTTATATATATATATATATATATATATATATATATATATATATATATATATATATATATATATATATATATGTATGTATATATATATATATATATATCTATATATATATATATATATATATATATATATATATATATATATAGACTCGCTCCAGATTATATCATATATAATATAATGTATATATATATATGTATATATATATATATATATATATATATATATATATATATATATATATATATATATATATATATATATATATATATATATATATTCAAATGATATTATATAAGATAAAGTCTGGGATAATGTGTTTGAGTGTGTGTGTGTATGTATTTTTAAAACATAAAAAATATATTTTTGAAAACAATACTTTTTATTTTTTTAGAGTAACAAATAATAAACATGGTTATTAATTGTTCAGTTTACAACTGTAAAAGCAGATTTGATAAAAGTAGTTTAATTTCTTTTCACAGATTCCCTTTAAATGATGAAATTTTATGTAAAAAATGGGCAACAGCAACTAAATGTTTACAAATTACACCTAGTAAACATAGTAGAATCTGCAGTAAACATTTTAAATTAGAAGATTTTGAGTGTCAAGAGAATGGGAAATGTGTGCTGAAAAAAAATATTGTGCCTTCAATATTTGACTTTCATGAATCATTGAACAAAAATAACAAGCGAAATCAGCTATATAATGATCACTCATTAAAAAAACAATTTGTTCTATCTCGAATAAAGAGGTAACAGAGCTTAAAATTACAAATACTATTAAGGAAAAAATACTTAAACAAAATTCTCCAAAAAAACTATTACTTAGAAAAAAGATTAAAATATTAAAACAAAAGCTTAAACGAAAAGATAAAAAAATTGCTTCACTTAGCAAAGTTATTCAAAACTTGGAGAAAAAAAAAAATTATTTCCATTGATGTTGCTAAATTTCTTGAGAACAACTTCTCTGGACTGACTAAAGAACTTTTGAAATCTGAATTAAAAAATAGAGGCAAAAAAAAAAAGGTTATAGATACTCTGAAGAAGTTAAAAAATTTGCTTTAACACTGCACTTTTATTCTCCAAGAGCATATGAATTTGTTAAATCTACATTCTCATTACCTGCCGTAAGCTCACTTTCAAACTGGACCTCATCTGTAAATTGTTTGCCCGGATTTTTGGAGATGTTTTCAAGTTTTTACAAATTAAGACATTTGAGGATTCATCATACAAAGATTGCGCATTAATAT